TTTGTAATTTGAAACCAGTTGACTAGATGGGGGAAAAAAATCCTTACACCAAAGAAACACAATCATGCCAGAAATGAGTTGCCCTTGACCTCATAATTCTAACCATATGTACCCAGGAAAATAATACACAGTTGATCACGAGCTCAGCTTAACCCATTTAACTGTTATTGTAATGCTTTCTACCTTCCTTCCTGAAGTCGTTCTTTAAAGGGGCTTTAAGATGGCTATTCATACAGCAGCCAATGGCACTTACTGAAACCACACATCTTACCCTGGCATTCACATGTTTCGTTGTTGACTTCAACCATAAATATTTACATATTTTTCCTTAGGGTAAATTCTGCAGGAATCATTTTCTTAGCCAAAATATCTTAGAAGATATAAATTGTATATGAAATGTATACAAGGAAGAGCTTTTTTCTGTGACACATTCTCATTTGTTAACATAGCTTTGACAGTCTTATTCCTGAGTGCAACAGTCTAAAGACGTAGATGCTAAGCAGAGCTATAATTACCATGTAATTTGTTCTAAGCTTCCCATTCCAAAATAATGAGATACACAGATTGAAAAACAGCTGGACTGTCAGAATGGATAGCAAGGAGTTCCTGAATAACCTCGGTCAAGTTCCAGCCATGGCGCAGGTCTCCTCCAGTGTTTGCAGACTGGGGATTCAGGACATCGGTGGGGATCGGCAGACCCACAGCTGCTTCCTACTGCAGCTGCCCAGGATGAAACCTCAGTTTTAACCCCATCACACTCACATAGGACCAGCAACTGAACACAGGCTCCTTTGTTGCCTGAAATTTGAGGGTCTGAAGGCTGCAGGAAGGCAGTATAGCTGCCCGTGGTGCCTTCAGGACATGCAGAGACACTGGAGCATCAGTTGCAGAGCAATAACCCCAGACTGGAGCCCTGCCTGCACTGGCATGTCACAAGAACGAGCTCTGAGCGATCCTCATTCCAGCCCACAGTAATTAAGTGCAGAACATTGACCTTTTAAGATTGTTATTGTTTTATTATTTTGTAGAAAAAAAAAGTGGGCTCTCCTCCATATCCCTCTCCAATAAACTGTACTGGGAAGGAGACTTCATTGAAGGGAGAGAGGGAAGTTGAACCTCCCATGCATTAATACTTATCTCTTGATGGGCCATTTAAAAGTGATCCACACATACGGTGGCACATTATATTTGTTTTGTCATGAACATCTAAACCGGTGCATATTTCATGTTAATTATGCTGATTAAATGAAGTAACCTATAAAATTTATTGGGTGAGAGCCCAAAGAGCAGAGGGCATGCCATAGCTTAGAAAGGCTGCACTCTGCTTCCACGGTCCAGAGCAGATTGGTTTGTTCATGTTGGGAACTGCTGTGAAGAATTCAGACAACCCAGCTGATTTTAGAAGCATTCGCTGTGATGTATGATGGTCTATTCAAATCCCCAGGCTTTTGGCTCAGACCAGTTGTTTACATCTAAATTACTTTCTCCATTAAGTTCAAACTTTAATTTCCAATATATTAAATCCGTGTTGTTCAAAACAAAAGGTTCTTTTTATTAGCTTTGTTCCTACAATTATTAGATTAAGCATGTCATTAAAAAGTAGTTTATCACGATTCCTTGTAGGTAGGTATAGTTTGGTGGTGATAAACAGAGCTGATTTTTGAATATATTTAGAGAGGAAAAATTCACGCCACATGTGAAAGTCCCATATCAATCCATTGTGTCTTATTAAAAACCAATACTTTCATAACAGATTAAACTGACCTGTGGGAAGAGCACGGCTGAAGCTTGTGACACACTTGCTGTGCTCCTCCAATGCTTTGAATACTGGGAACTACCAAGGGGCTCTGGTTCATGTTCTCCCTTCCTTAATATATATTCTTTGCTAATATATTGTGCACAGTGATCAATCTCATGGGAAAAGAAAGTGTTATTTTCCTCTGAGAGTAGCTATCATGTTTTTGTTTCTGGCAAGAATCAAGGTGAACATGGGTTATATTTGCTGTAAAACATCAGGCCCATTTTTCCAGAAACAGCTTTCCTTTTATTCAAGATGATGCTTAACAGGTCACAAAAACAAATTCTTTAAGCAGTTAGAAGCAACTTGTCAACAGTCTCCCCACAAGTAAGAGTCACCTCCATCTCAACAGACCTGGCTTCCTGGAACAAACCAGCGGCCCCACATGAAGGATGCCGTGCCGCAGCCAGCTCTCAGCACTGGTGGAGGCCGGGCACTTGGGCCGACCATCAAGTCACAAGAAGTGCCATACCTTTTGTTTGTTTGCTTGTTTTTCCTAGCTTCTACAATGGCAATACTTGAGAAAGAAACTAGGGATGAAAAATAAAATATTTATCTTCAACTGCCACAAGCTGAGGATAAATGTTTTCATGCTGTTCTGCACTTGAACTTCCACCGTGGCTAAGTTTTCCTCTGAGGCAAGAGTCACACAGAATTGCCCTGTTTCTATTCAATTAGAGCCTTCGATAAAGAATGGCCATCAGTTCTATTTGTTAACCTGCGAGTGATACCATATTCATTTTAGTAATGACCCCCAACAACTAATTGTTGGCATTCTATCCTACTGCAGTTGAAGTGTCTGAAGGTTCAAGGTTGGCAATGTTCATCACATCATTTGGAAAAGAAACTCCTCCTGTGTCTCATCCAAACAAGCTTTGTTTCAGAGTTGTTTTTAAAATGTTTTACAAAAAGACTGAGTTGCAGCACTGACCTGCAGAACCTGCGGGTGAGTGCTTACAGGCTTTGAGGAGAAACCTGGCAGTGACATTAGAACTGACGGACGTGCAGCCTCTCAGGGGCACAGCAGGTGCCAGGAGCCCAGGGAATACACGTGGAACAGGAGCGAACAACTCTCACTACCTAGATCCAGAGATGAACAATGTTTTCTCTCAGAGCAAACTTCATGATCTTCTAGCACCTCATAGTCTTTGTAACAAACAACGTAGTGCACATTTGCCAACGATGTGAAGTTTATGGAGAAACACATCAAAAGGAGACATTTTTAACCAACAATTCTCATTCTGAGATTGTCTAACTACCCAGTGATTCACAATAGAGATCAACATTGCCAAAATTTGCGGGAACATTTGGCTGCCAGCCTCACAGGGCTTTAATACCATTCATAGATATTAGGCAAAAAAAGACCATGGAGAGGCTTTCCTCCAGCTTCCCATACCATGAACCTTTATCCAGGGATCCCCTCTTCCAGCCAAATAAGTGCTCTTTTCCCCTTTCACACTTCCACCATCTGCAGAAGGACTGCACGGACTTAACTAACAGCAAATGAGTTGTCAAAGTGTATCTCTCCCATCCCAAATGAGAGCATTTCAGAGAAAAGAATAAGCTAATTAGATATACGTACAAAACATTTTTGCGAGCTCTCTTTAGATGTAGATCATATATCCCAGGTGGAAAACAGATTGCTCGTTTGTTCAGCCAGCTTGCTGAAGAACAAGTTCCTGACATTTTTTGTTATTATTTTTATAGCTATATTCATGAAGTCTTGTGGTTGATAAGTAGGGCAATTTGCATCACTGGCTTGGATGGAGGTTGATGCATCCCTCTGCAATGCAGTTTCAAGCATTTAGAAAAGCAGGACCCAAGTGCAGCTAAGCAGTGTGCTACCCCCTGCATTTTTAAGCACACATTGTGCAACGATCTCTGCTGGCTGATAAAGTGCAGTCATTAGAAACACTTGCTGCACCTTTAGCTTCTTTGTCTTCAATCACCGAGATGCCTGGCATTTCAAAAAGTCAAGTGGGGAGGATTAGGCTCAGCTGAGAAAAATATCTTTGCACAAAGATTGCAAATACCAGTTTGAGTAGGAAGCACATTCGCAAAGAAGGACAAGGCAGAAATCACTCTCGTTGTTTCTGTTACAAAAAGGAAGAGGACCGTAAGCCCCAAGTATCAAAACAGAAAGACTTGTCTGATGGCAATCAGAGACTACAAACGCTTTTGCTACAAATACACATGCTTCCTCAGAAGTGCCACCATGCTTTCTGTAAATAATTCACTAATAGCCAGCGTACCTCGTGTGCTTTGTCACTGGAGGTCTGGTCTCTGTCCCCGGGCAGGCCACAGCTGCAGCCACCAGGCTGTGCCCACCCGCCAGGGCAGGAGCACGAGGGGCAGGCAGCCCTGGCTGGCTGCAGGCAGCTCACGGGGGGGCACAGCACCTGCAGCCAGGGGTCCTGGGGGCAGCCCCCTCCTCATGAGAGGGACAGGCACCGGCCCCAGTGCCACCAGCACCAAGCTGCAGCCACTGCCAGCAACAGCACCCCTTGGGCCTGCTGCTCCTGTGTGAATGCTTCAGAGCTGCCTGGACTCTGCTTGTATTAATGAACAGGAAAAAAATCTCTTGAAGCAATAGAAGCATAACTAGAAAACCCATCCATGTGCAATGCTTCAATCTCAACAGACTGGCACTGCTTTGTTCTGAAATCCATGGGTAGCTGAACCAAGGACTGAGGATTCACTCGTGGCACCCAATTCCAAACTTTCTCTGAATACATCTACCTGATGTTAGTTATTTATCCTTTATGATAGTAAAGTCATGCCTACAGTAATACAAACTAGTCACTGCAATGACTACGCTGAGATTATAGCTCACACTTTTATGACTTTTGGACCACATATCACATAAATTCAAATCAGTACATTTTGCACAATGCCACCAGTTTAAATCAAGAGAGAAGCACTCCAACACCTTGTAATCTTCCCAGCAAACTGAAGAATGTTTCAGACAGCATGTACAACCCTCACACGTTTATACAATGTGATTATGTTCTAAAACAACCTCAATCCTATCCTTTTTTAATAAGAGGTAATAGTTTTCATTTTACTTACATCTCCCATTCATGCGTGTTGCCAAAGGCTCCCTTCAAGCAAGGAAAAGGCAGTTTTAACACTATTCATTATTTAGAATCCTACTGAGACCCTAGACCAGCCCAGCCAATGTAAAAATAACAGAAACACTCACCCTGCAGACGTTTAGGGTAAGTTTCATGATTTTACGCTCTTCTTTTCTATATCTGCATTTTGCTCCAGCACAAAACCCCACTTTATTACACCTTCTACCAGGACCAGTGCCCCGCAGCTTACTCTTTGCTTGGAGCCCAGGTAGCAAAGGAAGCAAACCAAGCACCAGCACTCCCCACACCTCCTTTTAGGATGCGGGCAGGCCCCGCAGCTGATGTGCTGCACCTGGGGCTGGGGAAACTCCCTCGTGCAAGGGGCACCTTCTCCCCACAGTGGGACAAGAAGGCAGAGACAGGAGCAGAGCAGAGCAGGGCACAGCCCACCCCACCCCACCTGTGCCCTGCCTGTGTCGGGGCAGCCCACCTGGCTGCTGCAGCTGTGGAGTTTCACGGCTCTGCTCCTCTTCTGCAGGAGAAAGGGTGGCAGGAACAAAGTGAAGAAGGGTAGGCAGGGGGACAAATGACCAAGAGATGTCTTGCAGGAAGCAAACCTGTGGTGTGGCAGCTTAGGGAAAGCAGCCTTGCTCCTGGGAGGAGGAGGAGGACGGGCAGGGAGCTGCCCAGGCAGCACCAGGTCACGTCCTGGGGGAACAGTGCAGAAGAGGGGCAGGGGCAGGAGCAAGTCAAGTGTGTCGGCACATGAAAGGGTTAATTAGCAGCTGCCAGTAGTTACTGTCTAATACGTATCTGAGAAAATAACCATTATTTAGGCACCCAGCGTGCATGGCAGTGACATAATGCTTCTATCTTCTTCGTTAGCTGATGGAAACATTACACAGATATATTTCTGGAACTAATTGGACTGATCCTATTCTCTCAGCTGGCTTGCATGGTTTAAATAAGCCTCCTATTAACTCAGTTGTTTTCTTAATCCAGCACTAGACTTTTAAATACTGTTACCCCTAACACAGCAATGACTTCAGCGTGAATAACTCTGCTCCCTGGGCATATTACTATATCGATAATGTGATTTGAGCCCTGATGCATGCACCTCCAATACCCTGATATGCAATTTGAAAGGCTATTACTTAAATGCTCAGGTTGCTGGAAAAAAATAATTTAGCAGATGAAGAGCAGTCTCTTCCAACAGCAAAGTGGAGCGGCTCTGACCCCCTCGGCAGTGTGGTGCCCTGTGAGGCGCTGTCGCTGTCCCCCCCAGCACCATGTCCATGGAGAGCACAGGCAGCAGGGGCCCTTCAGGGGCTGTGAGCATCCTCCTGAATGAAGGGTGGCCAGGAAATAATGCTTTATCTGCAGTAAACCCACTGGTTGCACTGGAAGGCATTAAGTTCTACCCTACCACCTGGATAAGAAAAGTAGCAAGCAGTTGGTCTGAAAGGCTGACAAATTGCGGAGGACTGAACTTCACCTACACAATGTGTAAAATATGTTACATTGTGGGTCTACTACGAAAACCAACACTTTCCAGATGGGTTGATGACTCCCCAGGCAGCAGCTGAGGCAGCTGAGGGAGACGGCAGTGCCGGTGTTCCTGCCAGGCATGCCCCTCCTGCACCAGGAGGACTTCAGAAACTGCTCCTCCCTGGATGAACCATAATGTGGAGGTCTCCCAGGCTTGTTGCCCATTTATATACCATTTTTTCCCTTCCTCACATGCTGAGCAGGATGACCACACAAATTAACTTGTTGTCCCATTCCCTCTGTTCCTCTGAGTAACATTTAATTAGTAGGAAGGCACAGTGTACCAGGAGGACTCCCTGTTTACCAAATGCAAACGTTGCAGAGCAGCTCAGCTTTGGAAGCACACGACAGGCCAAGTCGCTTTCCAGGGTCGCTCTGAAGCACGGAGGAGCCAGGCACTTTGCATGGCATCATGCTGTAATTTGTAATTGACAGTTTTCTTGTGAGAGCTTCCCAGCCAAATCAAGAGATTGTTCTCCAAAGACAGGCAGCTGGGTAAATGTCAAGAGCTCAAAAAGTAAATTACAGTGCAAACAGGTTTGATATTTCTATGAAATGAAAGTTAAGCTCATTTCTTTTTAAAATACAGAATTTTATTTAAAACAAGTGAAAACCTTCTATTGTGACCTTTATGAGATTCCAAACAGTGACGAATTTGGTCATTACAAATAACCTTTTCCTAGCAAGAGCTTTACCAGTGGGGACTTCCTTGCAGTAATATATGTGAATTAATTTCCATCCTACAAAACAATAAATAATATAAAAATCTTGTAAGATACCTAATCTACAGTAAAATACGAAGAACGAAAACAAACAAACAAACAAACAAAAGGGAAGCACTTCTTTAAAGCATCGCCATGAAATATTTTATTTTGTGCCATGGCTTACTGGGAAGCCAACTCTCTATCTCCTCCGCTACTTCAGGAGCAGATAAGTATGCCAGGATTTGCCTTGCTATTTGTCTATGTGATTAACCCAAAGATGGGAATGAGATCATTAACCTGGGATTACTTGCATGTTTAGAGCTCTCATCAAGCCTGTCGTACTTTGTTATCCAAACTAAAAATTATCCCTAATCGTTCATAGTTGGTTTAACTTTACATTGACAAACACTATTCTATACCTGAAACTAAACTAACTAACTAACTAACTATGATGGTCACTAAATGAAACCTGAAGCTCTAATTAACTCACAGTGTACCCAAAAATATCTTGCGATATAATCATCAAACTAATACTGGGCTTTTTGAAATAAAAGTTTCTTTTTAGCAGTAGACACTTAAAGTTTGTCCAGGTTTTTCAAAGCACAGACAGTGAATTACTGTGTCCTGGGCTGTGACTGCATTTGGCTACAAACAAATCTACAGTAGTAGGAAAACAGAAGCAGCTTTGTCCAGCGGATCCGAAGTGGCATCAGCAGCTGCCAGGGGAATCCAGCAGGCTGGCATCCTTCCTCGCCAGAGTGGCTGTGGCATCCCTGGCCCCCACCTGCGTGGTGCTGGTGCCTCGCCGCCAGCCCCAGAGGCCCCGCGGTGCCCGCCAGGACTCGGTGTGCCCCAGGGACCCGCACTGACCACGGGCTGCAGAGAGATGCAGGTCCTGACGTTACAGAGCTTTGGGTGCTTGGGAACCCAGCTCCCTCCAGTCCTGGCAGCAAACAGGCGTGTGGGTGTATTTAAGCTCTGGGCTTTTGACTTGTCTGGACCTCAGAATCTCCAGGCATCCTTCCGGCTAAATGGCACTCAGGTCTGCTTTAGTATTGGGAGCAGTTTTCCCCAAATAAATCAATCTGACTGCAGTTTTTGCCTGCTTGCGTGTGGCAGGGAACATAAATCCTACCGGATGACAAAGACATAGAAGGGGGCTCTGGGGGTGGACATGGTGTAGGCTTCTTTCTCCCCAGACCACTTCCCAGGCCGAGCTGGTCTCACTCCCACATCACTCCCGAGACTCATAAAAACAAGCGTCAGTGCCAATAATAGCTGGGCTGATAGAGAGATTTGTTTTATTTGCTGAAATGCAGCATTTATCACCCAAATGCAGTCAACCATCAGATACACAGCCAGCATCAGTAACAGCGCAGAAGCCCCAGGTGGATGCTGCTTTCAATTAGAGCTAATTAAGGAGGAAGAGCGCTGCAAGCTGGGCCATGGAGGTGCAGCCCAGCCGGCTCCAGCCCAGCAGCTGGAGGCTGGGGCCTGCTGCTGGAGGTGCAACCCCACACAAACCCTGCACCCCGTGTCCAAGCAGGCTGCCAGTGCAGGTCCTGATGCTGTTCGCAGGTGACAGGATGGTGGTTTGGGCTGCTGAGGGCTGAGATTTCTCTTCCCGAAGCACAGCAGGTGTCCGAGGCACGTGTGGCCTGGGAGCTGGTGGCAGCACAATGTACGGGGCCGTGTCACACCCTGTGCACTGCCTCTGTCCTGGGAAGGCAGGTGAGGCGGTTGTTGCAAGGCCACGACAGCACGTGCAGAGATGAGCGAAAGACAGAAGGTGAATTTATTTTCTTTGCTGGGATCCTTTGAGTCAGAGTACCACGTTGGTTTTTTTTGCTGTTCTTTGTTCATTAGTTAGGATTAAAAATTGTACAGATGTGACAGTACATTTAAAAATATGGATAATAAATTCTTTCATATTTCATGTATCATAAGTGTAGCCTCCACTTATTTTCTAACAGAATGTAGTGTTTGCTATTTAATTATAGTGTGAAATAAGTATCTGTTATGCTATTGAAAAAAATAAAGATACAATAAAGACTAACATGTTAGAAAGTTTCTGTAATAACTAAATACATCAGCTTATTCAATTTAATTAAGAAATTTAAAGACTGCCATTTCAGAAGTGAATCTTGTGTACCTTCATAAAATCAAATGGTCAAATGTGCAAGGCATTCATAGACATGGTCTGGCTGCACTTTGGGCCTCACTCTCCAAAACAAATTCCCCTCGTTATTCAGGCTAAACCCTTTTTGCAATGTATGCGAAGTTTCACTAAACAGGTTTCTGAATCAGTAAAATCAACAAATACAAGGTGCTGAAACCCTGATAACAATTAGCGTGCAGGGGATAAGCCCTGGGAGCGCCGTGCCCTGGGACAGGAGGGTGTTCCTCGGCAGCTGTTTGCAGCCCTGCTGCCCGCGGGGCAGTTCGGTGGTGAAACGCAGGTGTGATGTCTGGTTTCAGAAGGGTGAGAAGCGACCTGTTGGCTTGGGGCAGCCGTTCAGGTACGATGAGGGACGTGCTTTCTGCCCAGCGAAGTCACTGGTGGAGGTTCCTGCAGGGCACGGGGCTGGAGGGGCCGGCGGTGCCTGCTGGAGGAGACCCCGGGGTGTTTGGCACTGTGCAGCTCTGCAGGGGCTCTGCAAACAACAGGTCCTTAAACAAATAGGCTGAAAGAAGCAATCAGTGCATAAATCTTTTCACACCAAGACATTAGAGGCAAAATATTTATTAAAGAGTAATACAGTTTTCTAGCTAGAGATGATGCATGGTGCATGGAAGACATCACTTGAATAAACATCGCAGCAGCATCTGCAAAAGCAGTGCGATCATCATCAATCTGTATTTCAGAAGAATGAGCAATGCCTCCATGGCCAGGTGCTCCCGTTAATAAGAAATCCTTCTGTGGAGAATTAAGTTTAAAAATAAACATTGGGACACTTACATCTGCAGGTTTCCATCAGATAGGCTAACCAGAATCAGGTAAATAGATACAGGCGGGCAGAGTGGATAAGTATCAGCAAGCGGTGAAAGCTGAGCCCCTCCTGCTGGAAAATGTGGAGTGCTGGGAGCACTGGGGAGCACTGGGCAGGGCTGGGGCCCCAGGGAGCAGTGT